AAGGGGTCAAGAAAGATTTTTTCTTCTAAAATAACAAGCAAAAAAAAAATTATATATCTTTGAATACATATACCACTGTGCAAAAGTCTTAAGCAGGTGTGAAAAAATGCTGTAAATGAAGAATGCTTTCAGAAATATAAGTGTTAATAGTTTATTTATATCAATTAACAAAATGGAAAGTAAATGAGAAGAGAAATCCAAGTCAACTCAATATTTGGTGTGACCACCCTTTGCCATCAAAATAGTATAATTTCTTCTAGGTACACTTGCACACAGTTTATGAAGGAACTCAGCAGGTAGGTTGTTCCAAACATCTTGGAGAACTAACCACAGATCTTCTGTGGATGTAGGCTGCCTCAAATCCTTCTGTCTATTCATGCAATCCCAGACAGACTTGATGAGATCAGGGCTCTGTGGGAGCCACACCATCACTTCCAGGAATCTTTGTTCTTCTTTACGCTGAGGATACTTCTTAATTACTCTGGCTGTATGTTAAGGGTTGTCGTTCTGCTGCAGAATAAATTTGGGGCCACCCACATGCCTCCCTGATGTTATGGCATGATGGATAAGTATCTTCCTGTATTCTCAGCATTGAGGACACCATTGATCCTGACAAAATCTCCAACTCCATTTGAAGAGATGCAACCCTAAACTTGCAAGGAACCTCCACCAGGCTTCACTGTTGCCTGCAGGCAGTCGTTTCTGTACCGTTCTCCAGCCCTTCACAAACAAACTGCCTCCCGTTGCAGCCAAATATTTCAAATTTTGAATCCTCAGTCTAGAGCACCTGCTGCCATTTTTCTTCACCTCAGTTTCAGTTCCCCAGTTCTGGTGTACAGGTTTGCGATAAAGAACTTAAAACAAACTGTTACAATACAATTTTGTCATATAACAATCTTGACTTTGGAGAGTAACCCTAAAGGTGTCTGATTTGAGCTATGACAAGACCACCAAGAGTATAGCCAAGGCAGCAAAAAAAAAAAAAAAATGACTAGGCTGTCCTTAAGACTTCAAGGTGGTCCTGATAAGCCCAAATTTCCCTGCAGTGCTTTGTTGTTAGAAATAGAGCAACCCTCAACAATATAAAGGGTGCGACAAATTCCAGCATGATAAGGCAAGATGGAGTAGTCTCAGATGGTTACTTTTGATGGCTTAGTTGGGACCCTTTCCAGTGGTAAACTGGTGGTGAAGACAGCTTCAATTTGTAAATAACTTTTTTTTTATTCAGTAGGTTGAACTAGGATAGATGAGATAAGGATATCCTGAGTTGATGCTGGTGATGTCTGAGGTGATTGTGACCAGCTGAATGTTTGTCTGATGTGACCGGCCAAAGCTTTGTCTAAGGTGACTGGCAGAATGCAGGTCTGAGGTGTCTGGTGGGAGACTTGATTAAAGTGACCAGCTGAACATTTGTCTGAAGTGACTGGCTGCATGTTTGTGTGAGGTGATCCTCTGAAGCTTTGTCTCAGGTAAGTGGCAGAATGAAGGTCTGAGGTGTCTGGCAGGAGACATGATTAAAGTGACCAGCTGAAGCCTTGTCTGAGGTGACTGGCTGAATGTTTGTCTGAGGTGACCGGCTGAAGCCTTGTCTGAGGTGACTGGCTGAATGTTTGTCTGAGGTGACCGGCTGAAGCCTTGTCTGAGGTGCTGGCAGAATGCATGTCTGAGGTCTCTTACGGGAGACTTATCTGAGGTGACTGATAACATCCCAAATAACTAGCTGTTCTGGCTGGAGGTACCAGAGACTCCCAATTTAGAGACATAGGCCTTGCTGGAGGGAAAGAGTGTCCCGCAAACTCAGACCTCCAGGTTCACACGTCTTCTCTCTCCTCTTGCCCTCTCTTTGCAGAACCTTCTAGAGCCGAACAGTTTGATTTTATCTCTGCCTCTCCCCTGGCTGCAAAACTTTCTGGGAACTGTAATTTCCTCCTCGGGGCAACAGCACCAGTGGGGACCTGAGAAGACGTGGATTGAGGCTGCTCCCCTGCAAAAACCATTGCACAGTAAGCATATTTCTTACTTTAAAAAAACAAAAACCTGTGCATTTAATATAACTTTAAGGCCATTTTCACTTGGGTGGACTGATCGGGTCTGCCTGTCCGTTTTTCAGGCAGACCCGATTGTACCATCCATTGCCCTCTATGAATGTCACGGATCCTGTCGCCCTGCAGCGGTGCGACGGCGACGGATCCCCTCAAGTCACGGCGGTGGCGGTGCGAGTGCGCAGGTGTGGGAGCGCGCGGGGCTGCGCATGCGCGGTAGCGCAGAAAACTCACGCATGCGCAGTAAGCACACACATCACGTCAGGCGGACTATTTAAACCTGCTTAGTAGTAAAATCATTGCCTTCTGGTCTACAACGTTCTTGCATATATGATCCTGATACCTGTATTCTGCATTACCTAAGAAAGAACTCCGCCTGCACTGACCCCAGGCTATCCCTGACCATTCGCTTGCCTGCTCCTTTTGTACTTTATCTGCTCGCTTGATACTGGACCCGGCTTGTCTGACTCTGCTACATTATCCTGCCGCCTACACCTGCACCTGACCTGCATCTTGTCGGCTATCATACTCACCTGCCACTGCATCCACGGTTCTGCATCTGGCCTGCATCCGGATCACCGCCATACCTGTCTGCCACTGAATCCATGCACCGGTGACCGGTCCCAAATCCGCATCCTGATTGCCGCCACACCTGCCTGCTGTTGCACCTACGTTCCTGCACCTGCAGTGTGTCCGGATCTCCTGGGTCCCCAGCTACCTGCCGTCAGCTTCAAGATCTACACGGCACTCCTGCCACTCCTGGCTCTGCGCCTCTGTTCCCACTTTCAGTGGCTTCGAGCGATAGTTGTAAGAGGATGCCCTCTCTCCACGTTAGGCTCCCAAACCAGGTATGTGACAATGAAGCAGCGGAGGTAAACAGACATATGTCCATTTACCTCCACCTGCATCAGATATGCTGAAAACAGATGGATGTGGGATCTGTTCACCATCCGTCTAGTGGATCGGATGACAGTCGGATGTAAACGGACAGGAGGTAGAGGACAGCGGGCTGTGCCTGTGTCCACTCTGCATAAACGGAACAAGGTGAAATAAAAAAATGCCTTCTTTATTGTATGCAAGGAGTAAAATTTTCCATAGAGCAGCCAACGCTAAGGTGTCACTGTCAAGAAAAGACCTTACTCATAGCCTATGAATAAGGCCTTTTCTTGACTGTAACGTGTTAGCGTTGGCTGCTCTGTTGAATATTTTACTCCTTGCATAAAATAAAGAAGACATTTTTTTGTTCACCTTGACGCCAACATTTTATTTTTTTTTTTAATTTCCGCAATGGGGGGGGGGGGGGCGGGACTCATGGGGCTATACCATTCCCTTACTCTATCCAAAATTAAAAAAAGTTTTCCCTTTAGCTCTACTTTAATCACTTCAGAACTACTACTTCAGGGCGGCGGGCTGCGAAAAATCACGAAATAATATACGTGATTTTGTATTTCCAGGTAGGGGGTGTGCGCGCCCTACCCACAACGCTTTTGGCGGCTACAGCTGTTGATCACCAGGTCCCAGCCAGAGATTCTCCACCAGCACCCAGCGTTCGCCAAGGAACACTGACGGGGGAGAGGTCGTTATGTAAACAATAAAGATCTCTCCCTTGTCAGCATCAGCATGCTGCTTTGTATTGTTCTGCATAGCAGAGCAATACAACAGTCCCTAGTAAAACACACACAGCACACAGTTAACCCTTTGATCGCCCCAGATGTTAACCCCTTCCTGCCCAGTGTCATTAGTACAGTGTCAGTGCTTTTTAATAGCACTGATCACTGTATTAGTGTCACTGGAGATGACAGTGACAGTCAGTTCCCCCCCAGTGTCAGAATGCCCGCAGCAGTCCTGCTATAAGTCGCTGATTGCCACCATTAATAATATAAAAAATAAATTCTTGTATATGTACAACTTTCATGTAAACCAATTAGTTTGCACATATTGGGATCTTTTTTAGCAAAGACATGTAGCGGAATACATTTTGGCCTAAATTTATGAAGAAATGTACTTTTTTTACTGGATACATTTTATAGCAAAAAGTCAAAAATATAGTTTTTTTTTTTTTTTCAAAATTGTCGGTCTCTTTTTTGTTTATAACGCAAAAAATGAAAAATACAGAGGCAATCAAATACCACCGAAAGAAAGCTCCATTTGTGGGAAAAAAGGACATTTAATTTTGGTGCAGTGTTTGCATGACCGCACAATTGTCAGTTAAAGTAATGCAGCGCCGTACCGCAAAAAAATGGCCTGGTCAGGAAGGAGGTAAATCCTCTGGAGGGCAAGTGGTTAATGTATTACCAATATTAGCTAAATGGTTAGCACTTCCACCTGGCAGTACTGGCGTCGTTGGTTCAAATCCCACCCACAGCACCACCTGCCTGGAGTTTGCATGTTCTCCCTGTGCCTGCGTCGGTTTTCTTTCCCGGTACTCTGGTTTCCTCCTACACTTCAAAGACATGCTGGTAGGTTAATTGGCTCCTGTCTAAATTGGCCCTAGTATGTGAATGTAAGTTAGGGACCTTAGATTGTACACCCCTTGAAGGTTAGGGACTGATGGGAATGTACAATATATATGTAAAGCGCTATATAAATTGACAGCGCTATGTAAGTACCTGAAATAAATAAACATAAAAGGGCCCTACAAAACATAAAAGGGCCCCATCTTTCTTTGTTGTGGTAAATGGAGCTGAACTCCAAACTTTCTGTGGAAATATTTCATAATACTACCTATATACACAAGAAGGGCCCATGTGTACAATACTACATTGCAGGAATGCATACGAACACAGCTCCACACTTTCCTCACACCATACCAGAAGGAAAGTACTGGAGGCTGCAGTAGGCAGGTCAGTGCAGGCAGCTGAGTCCTCCACCGTCCGTCCCAGCATGCACCGGTGCGCTCCTCCCCCCACACAGAAGTCCCGGAGACAGGCGGCTCGCTGCCTTCCTCTCTCTGGTAAGATGGCGGGCGTTGAGGTGCAACGAGAGAGCCCCGGGGTGGAGGAAGAGGAAGGCGAGCGCCATGTCAACGGGGAGCTGGACGAGGACGAGTTGACGACCGTGGGGGACAGTGCTGCGGGCAAGAAGAAGAGGAAGAAAAAGAAGAAGACCAAAGCGGGTGAGAGAAGGGGCGTCGTGTGTGCTCGGGGGGGCCCGGGTCGCGTGTGCTCCCTGCTAGGGGCCCCGGGCCGTGTACAGGAGAGGTGACTGTGGCAGATCTCCTGCTTCCATAGCCTAGTGCACTGGTGATGTCCAGCCCCAGTCATGGACACAGGGAAGACTCGTGCACCTGGCAGGCTTCCTCACATGTTTCCTGGGGGAGTAGTACAGTACAAGTGACTTTTCACCATTACTCCACACACCTGCTTTCCCTGTTAAGAATCCTTCCCTCACCTTTCACCAATTCCCCAAAATAATAAATGCATTTTATCAGCACGTCATGCATCGTAGGAGGCCTCATGTCAGCAATCACAATTGCACATGGCCTGCTGCCTCTTCCTAGTTCTTGTAGCTGCCCCCCCCCCCCCCCCACCGATGATGCGGCGCATGCGTGACATCACAGTACAAGATGGCGGTGTGTGCCCAGGAGAGAGCAAAGGGTCGTTACAGGATTCCAGCAAACTAGGTGAGGCCTCACACACACTTGGGCTTTTGGAAACTCTCTTCTATTGACAGGAGAAAAGAAGCTTCCAAAATATGTCTAAGCCGCTGGGTTCCAAGTGCCTGGGCAGTTATCGATTTCATTGGCCAGAATATTTAACTTAGAACGTTTTTTTTTTTTTCATTTCCAAACGCCATAATATCGCTTAATATGTCTACAAGCATTTACATAGTTAGTCTGGCTGAAAAAAGACAAAATTCCATCCAGGTCAACCATTAGATGCTTTTTTTTTTCCCAGCCAAGATGCTCCTCTCTTGAATGCACAGTTGATTTTTTTCTCTGCCTCTGAACTCCTGTAAACGCTGATATGCTCATGGTCACATAGGCTAACATGGAGGGGCGATTGGAGAGTGAAAAAAAAATACAATGCCTGTGAAACCAAGTGTTTGTGAGCTCGAGGCCGAAGCAGGAGATTGGTAAAAGAAATGGGGGGGGAGGGGATTCCACTTTAAAGCCCAACTTCATGATAAATGTAACCCCCCCCCCCCCCCCCCCATGCATTCCCTGTCTGATCACTGGGTTGACAAACTGTAAATCCCATGGCCATCTAATTTCCCAGCAGTGGGTACTTCTCACGGTTTACTTCCTGTGTGATGTTGGCAATCCTCATTGGCCAACCAGAGGTAGGAGTCCTTTAAGGAACCAGAAGAGATCTGATGCCCAACCGAGAAGAGTGAAGGGGACCAGCCAGTAAGAGTCGACGCAAGGCACTGGAGTAAGCTTGAATGTGATAGGTATGTTTGTCTCAGGCTTCCAGAGCTTCAAAGGAAATGCTGGAGTAGACTGCAGTGGCAGTTGGGTTTCTTCATGTGCGAGCGTGGATTAGGTGTGGAGGGGGAAAGGTACTGGAGGGCATTTAGGATGAATAGCCTAAAATCAGAGTGGTCGGCACAAGCCGCGGCTCGCGACAGCACATTCTTTACTAATGTTTCTGTTACCGGTATGGTAATGATGCCCATTGTGGTTTTTTTTTTTTTTTTTTTCTTTCCCCATTCCCTAGTCCTCCAAAAGGAGTTGATGTGGGGATGCAGGATTTTGTAGAGTATGTGTAAGAGGCTGCCAGGGAAGGCTTGGGTAAAGTCTAGGAGAGAAGGAGGGTATGGATGTTTTACTATGGATGGCAATCTTTGGGAAGAAGGGAATAGGGAGGGAGCTGCCAACTGTGTGGAGCGTGGATTAGGTGTGTGAGAATAGAAAGGAGGGGAAGGTACTGGAGGGCTTTTAGGATGATAGCCTAAATGATTAGCACTTCCGCCTGACAGTACTCGGGTCATTGGTTCGTATCCCAACCATGGCACCACCTGCCTGGAGTTTTCATGTTCTCCCTGTGTTTGCATGGGTTTCCTCCGGGTACTCTAGGTTCCTCCCACACTCCAAAGACATGCTGGTAGGCTAATTGGCTCTTGTCTAAGTTGGCCTAGTTTGCGTATGAATGTAAGTTAGGGACTTTAGACTGTACACCCTTTGATGGTTAGGGACTGATGTGACTGTACAATATATATGTAAAGCGCTGCATAAATTGATGATGCTATGTAAGTACCTGTAATAAATAATAGGATAGCAGGTTGTGGGTGAGGAGGTGGGAATAAAAGGGACTCCATCACCCCAGTGCAGGAGCCACAAAACCTTATGTGGGTCTGTGTCAGATTTTTGCATCTTTGGGCTTTGGCTTGTAGTATGTCAGAGTGGATAGTTGTTGCCACTGTGTTAGGGCTAGTTCACACATCATGCGACAGCAAATGTTTTACTGCATTGTAAAATGTCTGTCACCGCAAGAACACACTGCAACACAGCCCGGGCTGTGCTAAAATGCAAACACGCTGCATTTTATCACATGGCACTGTACAGCAGTGCATTGCACTGCTGCATAGCTCCATGAATAGAGTGTACTTGTCAAAGTTTGTCCAAAAAAAAAAAAGCCATGTGATGCCCTGAATTGTGCACCACACTGCTCCCTAGCGCATTTAGGAGCGGAGAGCTGCTGGACCGATATTATGGCAATACAGTAGAGGAGTATAGACCTACAAATAAGCAAAAGAGACAAAAACCCCAAAAAGTAAACAAGGAGTGAACAACAACAAACATTCACATTAGTCAGGTGGGCGAGTGTGCATCAAACCTAACCACAATACCAATCTCAAAATCCTGAAGGCATTAATCTGGGTACAGTTTTTCACTAACTGGAATATTTTTCCCAAAGCCATTGCAGGGTTTATGCAAAATTCAAAGAACCCCACCTGTCTGTAAAATTCTACTCATCTAGAAGATCATGAGAGTAGTAAATCCACCCAGCCCAAACATCATGAAACCTCTCTAGATAATTGTGTTGCATGGACCCAGTGTCCAGCCTCCATAATCTAATCCACCTCCCTCCTCCAATCAGCAAGGGTCAGGCAGGACACCAGTTTCCAAAAACGTGGAATCGCACACTTAGCAGCATTGAATAAATGCGGTGTCACACTGCAATATTTTGCATCTGTAACAGGAAAAATGTGTGTGATTTGTGCTGGGGTTTTATACCACCTGGAAAAAATGTGTAACAGGACTCCTGTACTCTAGAACAGTGGTGGGCAACCTTTTTTTTCAACTGAGCCAAATCTCGCCAAAACCACGATTGAAATTTATTTTGAGAGCCACATTTTTAAAACTGAAAATACATCTCCCATATAGTAATTCATCCCCCATATAGTAATTCATCCCCCATCCCCCATAGTAATTCATCCCCCATATAGTAATTCATCCCCCATATAGTAATTCATCCCCCATAGAGTAATTCATCCCCCATAGAGTAATTCATCCCCCATAGAGTAATTCATCCCCCATAGAGTAATTCATCCCCCATAGAGTAATTCATCCCCCATAGAGTAATTCATCCCCCATAGAGTAATTCATCCCCCATATAGTAATTTCATCCATCCCCATAGCAATTCATCCCCCATAGCAATTCATCCCCCATATAGTAATTCATCCCCCATATAGTAATTCATCCCCCATATAGTAATTCATCCCCCATATAGTAATTCATCCCCATATAGTAATTCATCCCCCATAGCAATAGTAATTCATCCCCCATATAGTAATTCATCCCCCATATAGTTATTCATCCCCCATATAGTAATTCATCCCCCATAGTAATTCATCCCCCCATAGTAATTCATCCCCCCATAGTAATTCATCCCCCATAGTAATTCATCCCCCATATAGTAATTCATCCCCCATATAGTAATTCATCCCCCCATATAGTAATTCATCCCCCATATAGTAATTCATCCCCCATATAGTAATTCATCCCCCATATAGTAATTCATCCCCCATATAGTAATTCATCCCCCATATAGTAATTCATCCCCCATATAGTAAGTTCCCCCCCCATATAGTAAGTCCCCCCCCCCATATAGTAAGTCCCCCCCCCATATAGTAAGTTCCCCCCCCCATGCTTATATAGTAAGTCCCCCCCCCATATATAGTAAGTCCCCCCCCCATATAGTAAGTTCCCCCCCCCCATATAGTAAGTCCCCCCCCCCCCCATAGTAAGTCCCCCCCCCCATATAGTAAGTCATCCCCCATATAGTAATTCATCCCCCAATATAGTAAGTCCCCCCCCCCCCATATAGTAATTCCCCCCCCCATATATAAGTCCCCCCCCCATATAGTAAGTCCCCCCCCCATATAGTAAGTCCCCCCCCCCATATAGTAAGTCCCCCCCCCCCCCCATATAGTAAGTCCCCCCCCCCCCATATAGTAAGTCCCCCCCCCCCCCCATATAGTAAGTCCCCCCCCCCCCCATATAGTAAGTCCCCCCCCCCATATAGTAAGTCCCCCCCATATAGTAATTCATCCCCCATATAGTAAGTCCCCCCTGTGTCAATTCACTTACCTTTGCTCCGCGCGTTCCTCTCGTCGTGCTTCCCGCGCCGTTCTGGTCTTCAGGGCGGACTGTGAGAGGAGAGGAGTTCGTCACGCTGCCCCGCCTACATCCTGGCTGCCCCGCCTACATCCTGACAGCTACAGAGTCCTGACTTTTGGGGCGGCCGCCCGAGAGGAGGGAGGGGAGCGGGCGGCTGTCCGAGAGGAGGGAGGGGAGGGGAGGGGGGGGGGCCGCCCCGCCCGGCACACGCCCGTCCAAGAGGAGGGAGGGAGGGGAGGGAGGGAGCAGGCGCCCGGCACACAGAAGAGCCGCATTTAAGCTTGTAAAGAGCCGCATGTGGCTCGCGAGCCGCGGCTTGCCGACCACTGCTCTAGAACATACAGAGGAGGCATGAGTGAGTCTTATAATTTTCTGGAGTTGGGGTGGGGAAAACTCCACATTAAGTTCACATTCCCATTCCTTAATAAAATAGGGAAGGTGAGTGACAGGAACTCATGAGCAGTCTGTACATTCAGGACAGAAGATGACCTTACTCCGGGAGTGAAGAGCAAAATGATTGAAATGCAGTAAGAGTAGAACTAGCTCTCAA